TGACGGGCACTCCTCCTCCCCTACCCCCCCCCCTCCCCTACCACACCCCCTGCCCTGCCCTCCCCCTGCCTTCCCCCTCTGCCCTCCCCAGCCCTCCCCCTCTGCCCTCCCGCCCCTCCCCTGCCCTCCCCACCTTTCTCGCAGTGCCTGCCGTGGAACCCTTGGGGGCACTCGCAAGTGTAGGAGTCCTCATGGGCATCACAGGAGCCTCCGTTGAAGCAGGGGTCTGAGTCACAGGGTGATGGCAGTGCTGGGGGGACAGAGGGTGGTCACCCTAACTTTCCAGCTAGAACCAAGGCCACTTAAAATACTTTGTTGGGGGGAGGGTCTTGATTCTTTACACCAGGCTCGAAGGCCCTTCCCTGGTTTGCCCTCAATTTTTCCAGAATTCGCCCTACCGCTGTGTGAGCTAGGACGGGCTGTGGTACGTGGCTGTTTCCGAACGGACTCAGCACCGTCACCACGTGTAATGACACATTAGGTAAGTCATCACTTCCTTGCACGCCAGCAGGTACACAGTAGGGTGTGTTTAATCACAAACACCGAATTAGGCCCGTGTGAAGGATTTTAACAGCGAGGCCAGGGGCTCAGGAAGAGCTCGCACGCATCCAGAGGTGACTTTGCGGCGAGGAGCTTCGGGTGCAGAGGCGGTAGATGCCTGGCCGGGATTCCGGAAGACGACATGGAGGGGTGGGGAGGGTGTGCACATGCTGCGCCTCTCGTGGGCCTGTACAAAGCCCTGGCCTCCGCCTGCTGCACCCCCACTTCCTCCTCCTAACACCCCGACCTGGGCCGGTGGCCCTGCCCCCAGCTCACAGTGGCTGACGTTGTGGTCAGTGTGGCAGACGCAGAGGTAGCTCCCACCGTACTCCATGCAGTAGCCACCGTCCGGGCACTGCGTGTTCATGTTGCAGGGCGTGGCTGTGACTTCTGCAGGGAAGGAAGAGGCCGTGCGTCTCCCTGGGGCCGTGGAGTCCTTGGGGAGGAGCAGATGGCCAGTCCCCCCACCCTGGGGTGGGAGTGGGGGATCACGGGCCGCTAGTTAAGGGTCTGGGTCTATGCTTTGGGCCCGGGCCTAAGCCACCACCTACACTCTGGTTTGGGGGATTTTCAGGGGCAATGTAGGAAGGGTGCCCGCGCCACAGCCCTGGACACTTACCAAATTCACAGAGGAGCCCAAAGAAGCCTGGGGGGCACTGGCAGAGGGTGGTGTTGGCCCCCAGGCATCTGCCACCGTTGCGGCACCCACAGTGCTCGGGGGTTCCTGCCGTAGACAGAAGGGGGGAACCTCAGATGTGGGCGTGCTGGAAGGCAGAGGCCTCCCATGATCCTGACCCTTCCCTTCGCCTGCCCCCCCCACCCCATGCCTGACTCTACCCTGTGCCTGACTCCCTCCTGCTCCTGTCCCTCCCCTGTGCCTGACTCACCCCTGCACCTCTCTCCTCAGCCTGACCCTACCTTGTGCCTGATCCTCCCCCCTCCCCTGTGCCTGACTCCCTCCTGCACCTGATCCTCCCCTGCACCTGACCCTCCCCTGTGCCTCACCCTCTCCTGTGCCTGACCCCCTCTTGTGCCTGACCCTACCGTGTTCCCATGAGTGCTGCTGTGTACGCACACGCACACTCTCTCTCTCTCCCCCCTCCCAGCCCCTCATGAGTGCTTGGACGCACATTTATCTGCCTTCCTGCACGCACTACCCACAGGAGGACCCTGCCCTGGACAGCAGCCCCGGCAGCCCCAGCCCAGACTCACTCTCCCTGCAGTCAAGGCCAGTGAAGCCCTGGGGGCATTCGCACACGTAGCCCTCCTCTGCATCCACACAGGTGCCCCCGTTCTGGCAAGGGGCTGAGAGGCAGGGGTCGGGCACTGGGTGGCCTCCTGCAAGAAAGGCAGAGGTCACCAGAGGCCGCACAGCAGGAGGATAATGAGGCCAGGGCCGCCGTGCTCAGGCCCCACAGCGCTCAGGCCTCGGTGCAGGTGGGACCTGAGTCTGAGGCCACTTTCTGGGGACTCCTTGTGAGAGGCCCATCCCCCGTTGCGGGGGCAGAAGGGGAAGCAGGAGTCGGAGGCCCCACGGTGTGCCCCAAAGTGCCCCGCTAAGACCAGAGGCTCCAAACAAATGTTTCTAATCACGTGTCTCTGTTAGTAACACGGGGTTTTCCACATACAGTTTTTGTTGTTTTCTAGTTTAACTACTAATCAGAGAACACAGTCCTTTCCAACAGACTAACTTGATTTTTATAAATTTTTTAAATTTTTATTTAAATTTTAGTTGACAAGCGGTGCAATATCTGTTTCAGGAGTAGAACCCAGTGATTCATCCCTTACATATAACACTCAGGGCTCATTCAGCAAGTGCCCTCCTAGTACCCAGCCCCATCTAGCCCACCCCCCATCCACCTCCCTCCATCGGCCCGCAGTTTGTTCTCAGTTGTTAAGAGTCTCTCGTGGTTTGTTTCCCTCTCCCTTTTTCTCCCGCTCCCTTCCCATATGTTCATCTGTTTTGTTTCTTAAATTCCAGATGAGTGAAATCACTGGTATCTGTCTTTCTCTGATTGATTTATTTTGCTTAGCATAATACACTCTAGCTCCATCCGTGTCTTTGCAAATGGCAAGATTTCCTTCTTTTTGATGGCTGAGTAATATTCCTCTGTGTGTGTGTGTGTGTGTGTGTGTGTGTGTGTGTGTGTACACTACATCTTCTTTATCCATTCATCAGTCGATAGACTTTTGGGCTCTCTGCATAGCTTGGCTAGTGTTGATAACGCTGCTGTTAACACTGGGGTGCATGTGCCCCTTCGAATCAGCAGTTTTGTATTCTTTGGGCAAATATCTAGTAGTGCAATTGCTGGATTGTAAGGTGGGCTTTATTTTGTTTCCTGCAGGATGGTCTGTCATGGTGAGTGCTCCATGAGCACTTGGAAAGGATGTGAGTGTTTGTAAATGTCACTTAGGTCAGGTGGGCCGATGGTGCTCTTCACGCCTTTGAGGCCTGACTGATCCTGTGAATCACTGGGAGCGACGTGTCAGGGCCGCCCCTGTAGTTATAGATCTGTTTCTCCTTGCTTTCTCTTCCTGCGTCCTGATGCAGGTTCATAGGTGCGGGTACCTTACAGGTGTTTTGTTTTTTTGATGACACATTTGGCATAAAAGACCCATCTGTTCACGGCAGTATTCCTTATTCTTGAGTTTAATCTTTTGATATGAATATAGCCACTCCAACTTCTCTTGATCAGTTTTTGCCAGCCTGTTCCTTTTCATTATTTAGATGTTCGATATCTTCATGTGGTTCAGGATTTATCTTTTAAGTAATATATGGTACAACTGACTTTTGCTCGATGTGCGCTTCTATGACTTTTAACACATGTATAGATCTGTGTTGCCCCCATCACAGTAAGGACACTGAGCACTTCATCATCCCAAATACTTCCTTGTTGTATCTTTTCAGGGTCACAGACTCCTTCCCTTCCTGAGTCCCTGGCAACTACTGATCTGTTCATCACTATAGTTTTGTCTGTTTAAGAATGAGAGAAGCAGAAGATTATGCATGGACAGTATGTGATCTTTTGAGACTGGCTTCTTTCACTTAGCATAACGCTTTCAAGATCTGACTCAGCTGTTTGATCAGCAATCATGTATTCCATGTATGGGGAAGGACATTTGGTGTTCCTGGGTTTTGGTGATTATAAATAGACATGCTATAAACATTTGTGTATTTTGTGTGAACATAAGTCATTATTTCTTTAGGGTTAACAGCTAGGAATGGGATTACTGGGTCATATTATAAGTGCATGTTTAACTTTATGAAAAACTACTAGGCTGTTTCCACAGTGTCTAAACCATTTGACATCACCACCCAATATACGTGAGTATTCTTTTAGTTCTGTGTCCTTACGAGTCAGCACTTTATCTTGTAGTCATTCTGATAGCTTTGTGGTGGTATCTCATAGTGGCTTTAATTTGCAATTCACCAATGGCTAGTGATAATGACAAATAACCATGTTTGTTGATGTGCTTCTTTGCCTTCTGGGAATCCTTTTTGGTTAAATGTCTGTTCAGGTCTTTTGCCCATTTTGGGACTGGTTGGCTGTTTTCTCACAGTTGAGCGTGGAGAGTTCTTTATGTGTTCCGGACACCAGCCCTTTGTCAGACAGGACTTCTTGAAGCATGCAGCTTGTCTCTTCATTCTCTGAACTGTGTCAGGGCAGCGTGCTTCGTTCTGATGTAGGCCACTGTTTCTGTCTTTCTCTGCTGGGGTGTGCTTTTGATGTCTTATCTAAGAATTCTTCATCTAACCCCAGGTCACAGAGATTTTCCTCCTGTGTTTTCTTCTAGGAATATTATGGTTTTATGTTTTCCATCCAGGTCTATGATTCATTTTGACTTAATCTTGTGTAAGTTATGAGGTTGAATCTGAAGTTTATTTTTGGCATCAGAATGTCTAATTGTTCCAATACTATGTGTTGAAAAGATAATCTTTTCTCCACTGAATTGCTTTCACACCTTAAAAAAAATTTTTAATGTTTTATTTATTTCTGAGAGCAAGAGAGAGAGACTGCGTGAGCAGGGGAGGGTCAGAGAAAGAGGGAGACACAGGATCCGAAACAGGCTCCAGGCTCTGAGCTGGCTGTCAGCACAGAGCCCAACGTGGGGCTCGAACCCACGAACTGTGAGATCATGACCAGACAGCTGAAGTCGGACGCTTAACCAACTGAGCCACCCAGGCACCCCTGCTTTCACATCTTTTAAAAAAACGTGGCCAAATTTGTGTGGGTCTTCTGGATCAGGTCTTCTGTTCCACGGATGTATGTGTCAATCTCCTTGCCAATATCATAGGGTCTTGATCACTGTAGCTTTATAGTTAAGTCTTAACACAAGGTAGTGTCATTCCTCAAAATTTATTCTTTTCCAAAATTGTTTTGGCTATCTTAATTCCTTTGTCTTTTCATATACATTTTAGGACCAGCTTGTGCATAGCTACAAAACTCTGCTGAGACTTTGGTTAGAACTGTGTTAAATCTTTAGATCACCTTGGGGAGGACTGACATATTTACTATGTTGAGTCTCCCAATCCATGAACATGGGATGTCCCTCTATTTCCTTAGATCTTCAGTTTCTCTCACTAGAATTTTGTGGTGTTCAGTGTACAAGTCTTGTACATGTTTTGTCAGATTTATACCTAAGTTTTTCAATTTTGGGGAAGCTACTGTATATGGTATTGTTTTTAATATTTTCGATCAGATTGCCCAACTTAGGGAGCTCAGAAGTTCAGAAATGAGTATGGGCTTGCTGGCCCCAGATCCCCCTCTCCACAATCTCCGTATAGTTTCCAGTGCTCTGGTGCTACACGTTTCCCTGGCAAGAAAGCTGGGGCTTTTTATTGCCCCAACTCTGCTACTTCCATCCTGTGAGTGCACTCTCAAGTCTGGGCCAAGTGGTGGGTGGACAGAGAAAAAGAAAAACAATAGAAGTCGCCCATCTTTGTGGAGCCATAGGAACTCCAGACGGAGAGGAGGCTTCCTCCTGTCAGCTTCCTGCTGTTGTGGGTCCTGCTTCTTGTGGCTACTCATGGAGCACTTTCTGTCTGTCTGATGCTCACTGCTGGTGTGGGAACTGCTTTGAGTCCAGGCCGGGGGGCACTAGAGGAAAAAGGTAAATTCACCACTGGTTCTGTGGTGCTTCGAGGAAGCTTGGTCCTCTTCCCCAATCCACCTGCTACTATTTATTTTTCAGAGTCCTCAGGTAGCTGCTCCATGCATTCTGTCCAGGGTTTATGGCTGCATTCAGTGGGAGAAACAGGGTAGAGCATGCTTCCTCCATCTTCCCCAAAACTGGAAACCCTTTCCACTACTTTCAAATTATGTGTCTTTATATTTATAGTAGGTTTCTTGTAGACAGTATCTAGTTTGGTCTTGCTTTTCAATTCAATTTTACAATGTCTGCTTTTTAATTGGTGTGTTTAACCATTTTACATGTTAACATAACTATCAATATGATTAAACCTACCGTCTTGCTGTTGGCTATCACTTGTTTCATGTATTCTTTACTCCTTTTACCTTCTTCTCCTGCCTCTGGACTGAGTATTTTTAGGATTACTTTTTATTTCCACCACTGGTTTATTTTTTAAAGTTTATTTATTTATTTGGTGGGGGGGCAGAGAGGGAGGAAGAGAGAGAATTCCAAGCAGGCTCTGCACAGGCAGAAATGTTAAAGGAAATTCCTTAGACTAAAGAAAAATGGTACCAGATGAAAATCTAGATCTACACAAATGAATGAAGGGCTTTGGAAATGCTAACTATATGGGTAAATGTACAGGCATGCCTCAGTTTCCTGGACTCCACTGATACTGTGTTCTTACAGACTGAAGGTTTGTAGCAACCCTGCACCAAGCAAGTCCACTGGGGCCATTTTTCCAATCACATTTGTTCACCTTATATCTCTGTGCCACATTTTGGTAATTTTGCAATATTTCAAAATTTTTAATTATGATTATGTTTGTTATGGTGATCTGTGATCAGTGATTATGACTCACTAAAAGCTCAGATGATGGTTACCACTTTTTAGCAAAGTAGTTTTTTAAAAAATATTTTTAATGTTTATTTTTGAGAGAGAGACTGAGCGTGCACAGGGGAGAGACAGAGAGAGAGGGAGACACAGAATCCAAAACAGGCTCCAAGCTCTGAGTTGTCAGCACAGAGCCCAACGTGGAGCTCGAACCACTAACTGTGAGATCATGACCTGAGCCAAAGTCAGATGCTTAATCAACTGAGTCACCCCGGTGCCCCTAGCAAAGTAGTTTTTAATCAAGGTGTGTACATTTTCTTAGATGCTAAGAAATGCTAAGATGCTAAGATGCTAAATGCTAGACTGCAGTGTAATAGACTGCAGTGTAGTGCTAACATAACTTTTATAGGCACTGGGAAACCAGAAAATTCATTTGAGTTGCTTTATTGCCGTATCCACTTTATTACAGTGGTCTGGAACCAAGCCCACAATATCTCCAAGGTAAACTGTAAAATACTTTTCTTCTTACTTTTAATCTCTTTAAAGGTAATTTTAACACAAAAAATAACAATATGTTTTGGGATTTATAACACTTATAGAAATAAAATATATGACCTCAATAGCTTAAAGCAGCCTTAAGTGCAGGCTTTTCCTGTGAAGCAGCAGATATTAGTATTTTGGCTTTAGGAGCCATGTGATCACAGGTACTCGACTCTGCGAGTGTAATGTAAAAGCAGCCAGCCATGGACATACACAAATGACTGGGCATGGTGTGTGCCAATAAAACTTTATTTTTTCAAATGGGTGGCAGGCAGGGTGCCCGTGTGGCTTGCTCCGTTAAACATCTGACTTGGTTTCAGCTCAGGTCATGGTCTGTGGTTCGAGCCCTGTGTTGGGCTCCACACTGACAGTGCAGAGCCTGCTGGGGATTCTCTGTCTCTTCCCTCCCCCTCTCCCCTTCTCTCTGCCCCTCCCCTGCTCATGCTCTCTCTCTCTCTTTCAAAATAAATAAATAAGCTTAAAAAACCCCATTTCTTACAGATCATATATGCCAGTGCAGTCTGACAGATCTTTACTTCACCTTAACGCTCGAGAGGCAGTTTTTCCTGTGCGCACCTGCTGGGCAGACAGCCCGCTGTCCTGTGGCCGGCGTTGCTTCTGACAGGAAGTCTGTCTCCATTCTTGTTTCTCTTCGTCCTGTGTCTGGTCTTCCTCCTCTGGCTGCTTTTCAGATTTTTCTCTTTGTTCCTGGTTTTTAGCAATTTGATGATGATGTGCTCCGTGTGATTTTATTCATGCTTTTCTTGGATATGTGGGTTTTAATTTTCATCAAATTTAGAAAACACGTGGCACGTGGCTATTATTTCCTCATTTTTTTTCTGTGCCCTTCCAGCCCCCTCCGTCCTTCTGGACCCCACACGCACAGACATTACACTGCCTGGTGTGTGTCGTACAGGCCACTGGAGACACGGCCTTGGCCGTGGTCTCTCTCCCTCCTGGGTGGCTTCTTGGGTCATTTCTCCCAGTGCACTGAACTTTCCTTCTGCAGTGTCTCACCTGTGGTTAATATGTCCAGTGTGATTTTAAAATAGAGATTTTACACTTTATATCTCTAGAAGTTTCTTTTCTTGTATCTTCTACTTCTCACTGTGTCTTTTCTCCTCCATTCTTGAGCATACAGAGCATGTTTACAGTGGACGATAAAACGTGTATATCTGCTAATTTCATCATCTCTATTATCTGTTTCTATTGCTCTATTTTTCTCCTGGCTGTGGGTCATATATTCTTTTTTTCTAGCTTTTTATTAAAAATTTTTAATGTTTATTTTTGAGAGAGAGACAGAGACAGAGTGCAAGCAGAGGAGGGGCAGAGAGAGGGGGAGACACAGAATCTGAAGCAGGCTCCAGGCTCCGAGCTGTCAGCACAGAGTCTGATGTGGGGCTCGAACCCACGAACCGTGAGATCATGACCTGAGCTGAAGTCAGATGCTTAACCGACTGAGCCTGTGGGTCATATATTCTTTTTTTCTTTTTCAGTATGAGTCAATTCCTTTTTTTTTTTTTTTTTTTTACAAATTGTTGTCAAGTTGGTTTCCATATAACACCCAGTGCTCATCCCCACAAGTGCCCTCCTCCATGCCTATCTCCCCCCGCCCATCCATCAGTGCTCAGTTTGTTCTCAGCATTCAAGAGTCTCTCATGGTTTGCCTCCCTTCCTCTCCCCCACCATTTCCCTCCTTCTTCTCTCCCACGGTCCTCCGTTAAGTTCCTCCTAATCCTCCTATACGTGCAAACATATGGTATCTGTCCTTCTCTCCCTGATTTATTTCGCTCAGCATAACACCCTCAAGGTCCATCCATGTTGCTACACAGGCCAGATTTCATTGTTTCTCGTTGCCATGTAGTATTCCATCGTATAGATAAACCACATCTTCTTGATCCATTTGTCCTTTGATGGACACTTAGGCTCTTTCCATGTTTTGGCTATTGTTGAGAGTGCTGCTATGAACATTGGGGTACATGTGTTCCTATGCATCAGCACTCCTGTGTCCCTTAGGTAAATTCCTAACAGTGCTATTACTGGGTCATAGGGGAGTTCTATTTTTAACTTTTGAGGAACCTCCACACTGTTTCCCAGAGGGGCTGCACCAGTTTACATTCCCACCAACAGTGTAGGAGCGTGCCCGTTCTTCCCCATCCTCGCCAGCATCTAGAGTCTTCCGATTTGCTCATTTTAGCCACTCTGACTGGCGTGAGGTGGTATCTCAGTGTGGTTTTGATTTGTATTTNCGTTTCTCCACATCCTCGCCAGCATCTCGTCTTCTCTGATTTGCTCATTTTAGCCACTCTGACTGGTGTGAGGTGGTATCTCAGTGTCGTTTTGATTTGTATTTCCCTGATGAGGAGGGATGCTGAGCATCGTTTCATGTGTCTGTTGGCCATCTGGATGTCCTCTTTGGAGAAGTGTCTGTTCATATCTTCTGTGTGGATCATATATTCTTGATACTTAGTACACCTGATGATTTTTGGTTGGGCATCCAGCATCTGTTTATCTATAGATCTAGCATCTATTTATCCACACCAGCAAGATGATACCCCACTGAGGACCCTCCTGGGTCCTGGGTGTGAAGAGCTCTCTGAACTCTGGCTGTAGAGAAGTGGATTATTCCCAGCCTTGCTGAATTCTGGGGATTGCCTGACTCACCACTTCTAGGCCTTCTTTCCAGCCTTATGGATTTCACCGCCTCTAGAGTGTGCTGAGCCGAGTCCAGGGGTCCCTCTGCACATCTTCAGAGCTGCTTCCTCCCTCTTAGTAACTCCATCCTTTCTGGAATTCTCCCCACAACTGCAGCCACCAAACTAGAATCCCTGTCTCCATGACCCCGAGACTCAGAGGACCTGCTGGAGTCTGGGCCCCCTTGCGGCAAGGGGCTTGGGGACTTCCTGCGGGCAGACTCGGGGGCATTTGTGGGCTTGTCCGGCTCCAGTGCCTCCTCCCAGGGGCCACAGTCCCAGGATGTCTGTTGTCCAGGGGCCGAAAGCAGTCGTTTCGTGTATTTTTGTCTGGCTTTCCAGTTGTTGATGGTGAGGGAAATTCCCAGAGCAGCCGATCTTCCGTGGCCATAAGCAAAAGAATGGATACTATTTTTTCCTTAAATTCCACTTTTTGGCCAATTGCCTGTTGAACCTGATGAGAATGTCAAGGCTGGCATCTTGTAACATGACTACTGAGCCTACATTCGGGACAGCGTCGGGGCTGTCCTTCCTTACTGTCTGCTTATATTTGGATTATTCGTCCCATAAAAATGTGGATTCTTCGCAAAATCTTTTGAAATCACTAATCTGTTTTCTGTCATAAGTTTAGTTAAATACACAGATATTTAGATAACAATCTGGGCAAGGTGCACTGTGACCTCTCACAGTGATTTTAAGCAACAGACAGGTAAGGTTGCTGCCCTCCCCCCCTCCCCTCTGCACTGCAGAGCCTCACCCTCTCCTCAGGACGTGGCCCGTCCTATGTGTGGCCATGTGACCAAAGACTGATGGAGGGTACAGTGTCCATCTACATCTTACTTATGAGTGAAACATCATTTCCTTCTTAAAATTTTAGACTCAAAATTAACCTGACAAGCTTGTCTTAAGCGCCTCCCAGGGACCAGTAGCCCAAGCGGTGACACTGCTGTCATTGGCCGGCACAGTGGCTGGGCGAGACCACGGCAGGTCAGGGCAGTGTCGAACAGTGAGTTCATTCTGTGGGCTGTGAAATGTGGTTCATTTTTAAATTGATCTACCAGGTCATAATCCGCATTTATGACAATGTCAAATAGGAACTAGCAAGTTTCATCACACGCAGGAAAGATCAGTTTTCTTTCCAACTCCCGTGGCTCGGTCCCTTGCAGGGTGAGCGGCCTAGAGTTGGAAAGAAGGGTGTTAAAGCCAAGAATCTCTTGAGCAGGAAGAGGGGCCTCGAGAGGGTGGCCCCGCATGTTACAGACACGGGGACGGGGGGGCCGCGGGGGGCCGCGGGGACGGGGGGGGGGCCGCGGGGGGACACGAGGACGGGGGGGGGGCCGCGGGGGGACGGGGGACTCGGGGGGACACAGGGGGACGCCGGGAGGAGAGAGGACAAGAAGCCCGCTTGGCCTCACACAGCACACGGGCGGCAGAGTCGCAGCAGGATGGCAGCTTGGGGACAGGCAGGCGCAGGCAGGGCTGGGAGGTGACCCCCCCGGGCCACAGCGGAGTTCATCTGGGTGGTGTGGGAAAGGGGCTGCACTGCTGTCCCCGTGGGGGCTGCGGACGTTTGCCATTACCTGTCTCACAGCGAGGTCCTGTGAAGGGCTCTGAGCACAGGCAGGTGAAATTCCCCACGAGGTCCACACACGAGCCTCCGTTCAGGCACGGATCGGAGGCACATTCGTCCACATCTGCGGGCAATGGAGGTGGGAGCTTGGCTGGAGCCAGTCTTTGGCTTCCCAGCACTGGGTCTGGCCGGGCAGGAGCCTCTCCCATCCCCCGGGCAGGCCACTCACCCGTCTCGCAGGCCGCACCCGTGTAGCCAGCCTGGCACAGGCACACCGCTTTGCCGCTCTCCGCCTGGCACTGCCCGCCGTTCTCACACTCTCTGCTGTCACATGGAGACAGTGCTGCACGTGCAGAGGGGGGGAATGTGTTGGACCCTCGGCTGTGGCTGCCGGGGATGCCTGTCCCATCCCACTCTGGAGGTGGCTCTAAGGGTGTCGGCTGTGGGGTCTGGGCCTGGACGGTCCCCTCCCATCGGCCCAGAGTTCATCCGCATCGGGTTTGTGGCAGCAGATCTGTAGTGGGAGGAGGCTGTGCACCCACTGGATGGGGGCACGGGGGTGACGGGGTGCAGGCCCCACCCACCCTGGGGTTCTTGTTGCCGGCACAGAGTGGGATTCTGGAGGGATTCCTCTGGGCCAGGCAGGGGACACAGCCTGTGACAGCACCTGGAGTGGGTACAGTGGGTAGAGGTGCAGGAGGAGCCAAGTGGCCTGTGGGTGAAGGGGCGAGGTGGGGAGGAGGCATGTCTTGCTGTGGGCTGGGTGCAGAGGTGCTTGACCCCCACCAGGTAGGGGTGGGGGAGGCACAGCCTGTTCCTGGCCACCTGTGCCCAGTATGCTGGCCTCTTAGACCCCTTGGCGGCTGCTGGTCCATGCGCCCCAGTGGCTGAGCCGGTGGGGGGGGCACCTCAACCATGCCATGTGTCCTGATGACAGTGCTTTCCCCAAACCACTCAGTATGGGTGCCAAATGGGTCCTCGCAGCATGTGGTCCTCCCCGGACTCGAGGGGGCCAGTGGGAGGAAGGAGCCGGAGGTATGGAGGGGCTTCCGGGGCTGACCCCTGTCTCCTGGAGCCTGACCACCAGAGAGCAGGGCCGGGCACCTGTGGGGAGGGGAGCCACACATGTCCCTGCCTGGACGCTGCTGGGCGTCCCTCTGTTGTGTGCTCTGTGGCGGAGGTGGGTCCTGAGACCAGCGAGCCTCTGTGGGGACCTGGGACCTGTCGGGGTCACCATAGTGGCCATGAGGAATCTGAGGCAGAGGGCGACTGGCTGCAGCCCAGGCCCTCCTAGGGGCTTCCCTGGGCCCAGACGTGTGGACGCACAGGTCCTTTTTTTTTTTTTTTTTTTTGGGACAGAGAGAGACAGAACATGAGTGGGGAAGGGCAGAGAGAGGGAGACACAGAATCTGAAGAAGCTCCAGGCGCTGAGCTGTCAGTAGAGCCCGATGTGGGGCTTGAACCATGAACTGTGAGATCATGACCTGAGCCGAAGTCGGACGCTCAACCGACTGAGCCCCCGGTGCCCCATGTACACGCGAGTCTTAAAACATCCCTGTGGCTGTAAGTCTCCCTGAGAAATGCTGCTTTCTGTACAGCCATTACTTGTACACACTGGATTTAACCACGTGTTCTGTGTCTCTAAACAATGACTGTGCGTCCGTGAGTGTATTTAGGGGAATGGGTGTGTGGTCCAGCCCAGTGGACATTAGGGGTCATGGTGCTTTGATTGGAAGGGGCTCTTTTTGTTGGGCTCCCCCAGCAGCTTCCCACAGTGAGACTGGGGGCAGCAGCGGGGCCTGCCTTCCTTCACCAGGTAGGCAAAGGGCCAGGATGATGGGAGCCCCGACAGGTGCTGGAGGAAGCGCAGGTAGTGGCGTTTGGAAGAAGGGTGCAGCTGAGCCTGGAGGCAGCAGGGGGCCCTCAAGAAGGACCCCAAGCCACGGCTGGGAGACCTGGGAGCTGGAGAGAAACAGCCTCCCCTTCTGTTGGGAGCTGTAGGGGTGTGGGATTCGGGGGCACAGAGAGGAAGAGGTGTGGGGTTGTACCCTTCCACACCCCACTGCCGGCCTGTCTGACCTCGGGAGCCCCCACGTCCCCACCAAGCCAGTCCAGAGCCGAGAGGAAAGTGATGGTTCAGCAGCACCCGGGTGGCTCTCGTGCGGGCCCTGCAGCCAGGCTGGGACCAGGCACCAGCGCCCAGGGGGTGCCCCGGGGTCTCCCCTCGAGTCCCTGCTCCAGCCCCACGAGCCACTCGGGACTGCCCGCGTCTGCCGCCAAGCCCTCTGCGGACGCTGACCTGGCGCTCCCCCAGCCTGCCCACGTGCCCCCGGTCAGGCAGGACCACACAGGGTGCCCCGCAGCCGCCGGGGTCCCTCTCACCTGTCTCACAGGTGGGACCCCCGAAGCCGGCCGGGCACTGGCAGCTGAAGCTGTTGATGCCGTGCGTGCAGGTACCGCCGTTCTGACACGGATGGGAGGCACACTCGTTCACATCTGAGAAGCAGAGCCGGCGGGGCCTCAGTGCAGGAAGCCAGGCTGGGGAGACTCTGCCTGGACCCCCTCCCGGCCCCACTTGGGGGGCGGTCGGCTCAGACAGGGCACCGCCTCCCGCACTCTCTGTCAGGGAGCCACTGCGTGCACCCCTTCCTTCGTTGCCCACACTGTGGGGACAGACACCCTTGACCTTGGGCTCTTGGGGCCACTGGCTGTGCTGCAGTGTAAACTCACCCAGATGACACCGCCTCCCCGTGAAGCCCGAGAGGCAGGAGCAGCTGTAGGAGGGGTTGCCCGTGACACAGTCGTCAATACACTTGCCGCCGTTGAGGCAGGGACGCAGGGCCAGGCACACGGAGGCTGTGGACACAGGAAGGAGCCGAGCCGTCCCTTCCCTCCCCCGACCCGAAGGGCCCGTCTCTGAGGGATCGCTGTGTGGTCCGCTGGCAGCCTAGCGTCCACAATTCACCTCCCAGGTCTCCCCGGGGTGCCCAGTGCGCCTGCCGTCTGCCCTGCCGACATTTAGATCCCTGGGCCGCGATGCCACCTTCCTCGGGGGCCAGGCTTCCCCAGAGTCCCTTAAGCCCACAGCACCTTCCTATCCCTTTAACGCATCAGCTTGTCTGAGGGACAGGAGACACAAGACCCAAGGGTGCCCAGCAACGCAGGAAGGCGCACGGGCAGGAGTGAGCCTCGGGTGGGGGGGACCCCGTAGGAACCAGGGGCAGTGGGGGGCGTCCTCAGGCCCTTCTGAGGGGGTGCAGTCTGGTCCCAGGGCTGCGACTTATAGGACGGAAATCATGCCCAGCTGCCCCTCCAGGCTTCCCCGCGTGAAACGAGGGGGCCACACTCAGGGCTGCTGAGGTCGGGGTTTCCACATCAGTCACGGCCTCCTGGCCAGGGAGGCCTCCAGCGGCCCCCGGGGGCCACCCAACCCCGTGCCTGGGCCCTCCAGGCCGTGCAGCCCACAGAGCTCAGCTTGGAGAAGTGAGGCTGCTGAAATCTGCGATTAAGAAGCACGAATTGGCAGATCACTAGAGCACCCCAGGTCTCGGATCCCCTGATGCTAGGAGGGCCCCGGGAGAGCTGGCATGGTATCCAGGAGAGAGAGGGGACACTCCCGGAACACCACCGGGACTAAGGGTATCTTTCGGGCTGCGTGCCCCTGCCCCTCCTCACCCATACCCCTCCGTTCACTTGGCCACACTCGCTCGTGGTCTGGCTGCCCTGCGGCGCCTGCTGGCTGGCTGCCCGCCTGGACCCGCCTTCCTCAGGAGTGAGGCTTCCAAAGGTGGTCTCTGCCTCTCACGTGAGAACTGACCCCCCCCCACTTCCCGGCACCGCCTGTGTGTGGGGAACCCGGACTGCCACACACAGGCTCCCTCTTCTGGGCCTGCAGTGTGGCCGTGGGAAGGCGAGGGGGCTCCTGCAGGCCTCTGCACACTAGCCTGGAAGGCCCAGCAACGCCTCCTCCATCCACTCCCCCGGAAGCCTGGGATCATGGGGAGAAGCACGTCAGCGTGGGAAAGGGGTCCCCGAGGGACTGGCCAACCCTCTTCTGGGGGTCCATTCCTCAGGGTCACAGCCTGCATCCTGTGGGGGAGCACGGGCCTGGCCACACCTGTACCCACGCCTGCTCTCACACCTGCACCCACACTTACATCCACACTTGCTTACACCTGCTGCACCTGCACCCACACCTGCCACACCAGCTCACACCTGCCCACACCTGCCTGCATCTGCACCCACACCTGCCCGCACCTGCCCATGCCTGTACCCACACCTGCCCGTGCCTGCACCCACACCTGCCGGCACCTGCCCACGCCTGTACCCACACCTGCCACACCTGCACCCACACCTGCCTGCACCTGCACCCACACCTGCCCGCACCTGCCCATGCCTGTACCCACACCTGCCCGTGCCTGCACCCACACCTGCCGGCACCTGCCCACGCCTGTACCCACACCTGCCACACCTGCACCCACACCTGCCTGCACCTGCACCCACACCTGCCCGCACCTGCCCATGCCTGTACCCACACCTGCCCGTGCCTGCACCCACACCTGCCGGCACCTGCCCACGCCTGTACCCACACCTGCCACACCTGCACCCACACCTGCCTGCACCTGCACCCACACCTGCCCGCACCTGCCCATGCCTGTACCCACACCTGCCCGTGCCTGCACCCACACCTGCCGGCACCTGCCCACGCCTGTACCCACACCTGCCACACCTGCACCCACACCTGCCTGCACCTGCACCCACACCTGCCACACCTGTACCCACACCTGCCCACGCCTGTACCCACACCTGCCTGCGCCTGCACCCACACCTGCGCACACCTGCACCCACACCTGCCCACGCCTGTACCCACACCTGCCCGCGCCTGTACCCACACCTGCCTGCGCCTGCACCCACACCTGCGCACACCTGCACCCACACCTGCCCACGCCTGTACCCACACCTGCCCACACCTGTACCCACACCTGCCGCACCTGCACCCACACCTGCTCGCACCCGCACCCACACCTGCCCACCCGCCTGCTCTGACCTGCATCCACAAAGCACTGCTACAGCAGCTCACACACTGCCCACGCCTGTACCCACACCTGCCTGCGCCTGCACCCACACCTGCGCACACCTGCACCCACACCTGCCCACGCCTGTACCCACACCTGCCCACACCTGTACCCACACCTGCCGCACCTGCACCCACACCTGCTCGCACCCGCACCCACACCTGCCCACCCGCCTGCTCTGACCTGCATCCACAAAGCACTGCTACAGCAGCTCACACAGCACCCACACCTTGATCCCCAACCACAACCTGCGGATGACAAGCCACAGGTCTTGTAGCCAGCAGGTCTACCTCTGCTGTCAGAGGTAGAGTGGTGTCCATACCCCCTGAACCACCACTGGCCCGAACCCAGAGGGGCAGAGCAGGCTGTGGGGCGCAGCCTGGCCTGGGGCTGCAGGGGGGCTTGTGTTCTTGGGCACCCCGCTGGCCACTTTGGGGGAGGTGCAAAATTATTGTTTCCTGGGCTCCCTCACCTGTGAGTTCCCCATCTCCTAAGCTCAGACACTGGCTGGGGCCTCTTTGATGCTCCAGTGAGTGGGTGGGTTCGGCTGCCCCAGGCACCCTCCCCAGCCCTTGGGGAGTCTTCTGGCTCTGGGGGTGCATGCCTGCCCCTGCCGAGTGTGTGCCAGCGGCCCCGGGAGGTCTGGGTGGGATCCACCGTGCTGTGTTCACACCCAGAGATTTGTGTTCAGAGAAGTGGGAAGAGGGTCCTCCCAGTGGCCTCGGTCCCCACGCGGGCGTCACTGTGGCCTCCGCCTTTGCAGAGCTTGTGATTGGTCCTCCTCACTGAGTGGCCAGGTCAGTTATTGACACACCATCTCCACTTGTAAGCATGTTTCAGGAGAGCCCAGCGTCTTGGCCAGCACCACACAGGGGAAGGGGGCAGGACAAATCCTTCTGCAGACATCCTGACCGCCTGCCCTGAGATGGACCCTACACCCCACCCCGCCCCGTCTGCTGCGTTCAGTGCCCGCAGGACCCCGGGGTGTCAGGGAAATCCCTCTAGCTGGGCAGATGCGAGGGGTGTGAAACAGGCACCAAATCCCACCAAGCAGCAAGTCCTTGGCAAATGTAGGGAAATGGGTGAAATGAGCGCCAGGTGGTCCTGGGGACAGGGGCCCCTCCCCGGCCCAGGTTCCAGGCTGGGAGAGAATGGGTGAGCCCGACTCCTGGCCCCAGGACGGGCGACCCCGGCTCTCCGCTTTGGGCACAAACTGTGGTCTCCAGCACATTCCCCTGCGCAGCGCCCAGAGCAGAGATAGGAAAGCCTCCCCAGGAAAAGACGGGCCTCAACGGAGGAGCCGGTCCTAGCCCAGGCTCCTGGCTGGGGGAGGGGGTGGGTGAGACCGTGCCCTCCTGGCCAGCAGCCTGCCTGTCCCCAGTGCCCCTCCCCCTCCTCCAGCACCCGCTTCGTCCAGCCCCACCCTCCCTTCACCCTGTCAAGGATCCAGCCATGCATCCAGCCCCCTTCTCCTCGCCCCTCCTCCCTGCCCCCAGCTCCCACCTGTCACCTCCCCCCCAACTCCCTGAGCCACCCCAACCCCCACAGCCCTGAGCCGCTGGCTCCAGCCTCTTACTTGTATGGCCGCAGCCCCCCACGCGCACCTGGGCATCATCGATTCTGAACGCCCAGCGCCCGGGCACGCCCACGTTGGTGGTGGTCTCCACCTCGGCCATGTCTGCTGTGCGTGAGCCGGGAATGCTGAAGTAGCGCCGCCCGTCACCTGCATTGAAGCCAGCCTGGGGGGTGGGCATGGAGAGTGGGGGACACATGCAGGTTGGGGTCCTGAGGTCTCCCTAAAGTTCCTGAGACCCACCTACTTCCCCCACCCCACAACAGTGGCCAGGGTCAAAGAGATCATGTGGAAGACAGCCTTGTAACCCTGGAGCTTTACAGGTTAGGGTATCCATACCACCCCGCACGCTGTCCTCATCCCGATCAGCAACCTCCCAGCCAGCAGTTCCTCCAGCCGCCAACCTTGGGTGCTGGTGTGTCCCCCCCACATACACCTGGCCTCTCGACTCCCATAGGGACCGGAGACCAGGGACCAGGGGCAAGTGTGAGCCCAGGTGGCCCGGGAGGAGGTGGGGCGTTCACAGAGTGCAGGAGCACTGGCTGGCCTTGGGGACTGGTACGTGACCACCGCCTCCGCACCTGGGGTTTCCTGCTGGCCGCGGTTCTGTGGGCCACGGGCCAGCCCCTAGGACAGTTAGTGCACAGAGAACCAAGGGCCCTGTGTCAGCTCAGCTGGCCCTGGAGGCTCAGGACAAAAGTGCCTTCGGCGAGAGGAAGTTTCCCGGAGCCTGGGCTGGGATTGGCCTCAGAAGGCCCCACGCTGGCCTCTTCACAGCACCGGGTGCGCGTAGGGAGGGTGTGCCTGCTTCATCAGCTCACGACAGGCGTGGCAGGGGGAGCGGGCCCTACCTGGGCTGCGATGCCCCCCAGGCCATCGGTGTCACCCCCGCTGCTGGCGTGTGTGCCTGTGGTCCACGTGATGGACTCATAGTTGAAGATGGTGAAGGAGAACTTGCCATCAGTGATGAGCACAGTCTGGAACGTGTTGACCTGCCGAGGAGGGATGTCTGAACAGGGCTCTGGCCCCAGGTCCGCGCTGCGGGGCCCCACTCCCCTCCTGCATCCCTTCACGCGCTGTTATCCGCCACTGACCCCTCATCTGCTTTCCCAGCTACGTGGTCAGCCATCTGCCATCAAGCCACTGGCCTCGTCCCCATCCTCCACTATGTCCCCAGGGTCTGAGGCCCCAGCACAGGGCGGGCACCCCCATATCTGTCACCTGGTGCGTGAGACACACTGAGGGGTCCTGAGGGCCCACAGACGCCAGGAGCCGACCCTGCGCCCTGTGGTGTCTGGGGCGCAAGGGTGAGTGCTGACCGGGCCAAATCCACAACTGCCTTGTGTGAAGCAAAAACCATAAAGGGTGGGGGGGTAAGAAAAGGAAAGGAGGAAAAGTGATCTTAGCACTTTTTGTTTTTCATGGAATTCTCTTCCATGAGACTCTGACTGAGTAGCACGTGTGAATGTTGTTTCTGGTTTTGGGCAGAGGAGGGGGCTGTTTCAGAAGTGATCTCAGGGCCAACAGGAAACTCTCTGGAAAAGCATAAAGTCAGAGCTTCGCATCACATGTGACAGTAAAGCCCACATCGAGTAAGGTTACGAATGGGACCATCAGAGCCCTAGAGGCAGATATGGGCAAGTCACAGGGCCGCGTTGGGGAGGGACTTCAACATAACGTGTCAACCGCGAAAGCCAAGGAGATTTACATGTCTGACTACAGAAACTTCTGCACGGAAAGTGCCATAAGGCGAAACGGAAGAGCAAATGGCAAAGTGAAAAATGTTTCTAGAACACAGGTGGCAGTCGAAACTGTCGTATCTTCAGTTCAAGCACAACTTCTATGGGTCAGTAAGAAAAAAACGACAACATTGGCGAGGGTCATACAAGCAGATGTGTTAACAGCAGAGCACGGCCGGCCGGCCGTACTGAACAGATGCACCAGACACCAAAGGCATGGAAGGTCAAAGAAGGTCTTCCCTGTTTGCCCGTGAGGCTGCGAGGGAGGAGAGCCAGGGAGACCCGTGGTCACACGCGGCGTATTTGCACGTCTGGGGCCATGAGTTTGAGGGGCGAGTCAGAGCTCTGCGGTGGCTGCCTACTTGCGGGGGACCCGTGCCAGGAGACGGTGCCCGGCCTAGGGGCCGCGTGGTGCCCACCTCAGGGCACAGGCGCTGCCTGACATGGTGGGCATCATATGGCCCATCTTCTTACTTATGCAGAAATGAGTGCTCCCCAGTGCTTCCTCCAGGCAGGCAGAGCTGGTGCTCGTACTCTGAGGACAGCCAGTGCGCGGTGGCCATGAAGGCGAGAAAGCTGAGGGGGATGGAGGGCAGGACTGAAGTCAGCAAGGGCAGCAGTGGGGCTTCGCAGGCTGCCGAGGCCCAGCGTGCGGGGAGAGTGAGGCCGGGCATGGAGCTTAGCCATTCCTTCCTGTTACACAGCCCGTTCCAGGAGCTTCCAGCCCCGATTACAGCCCAGACTCAGAACTCTGAGCCCTTATAAGAATTCAGTCATTTTGTAGTGCCCCCCCCCCTCCGCCCAGGCCCAAACACTGGAGAACATTAAGGTGTCCTCTGTCGGCACAGGAGGGACTCAGGCCCCTCCCCCCTCCCAGGTATGAAGGACATAGAGTGCGGGGGTGACCTCACAGTTTCTGCAGTGATGGGGAGGAACGTGTAGCTGAGCAAGATGCCCAGCACTGCTGAGTGAAGAAACCCACAAAACAGCGTGTTCTGTGTGGCTCTATTTATTGTTTACAGTGTGTGTCCGTGTACAATAGGGAAGGTGTAATGGGAGCGATCTCTTGGAATTACGGATTCTTTGTTTCTTTTTGTTACAAAGATGTTTCTCTTACAGATTGGTGATAAGAAGAAACAAATAGAATTTACAAAATACTCGTGGGCTCTGCATGAATGAAGTTGACTAGCATAGGCGCGTACTGTAGCAACCTTTACGGAAAAAGCCCATCTTTCCCCGTTTGCTGTCACCCGCCTATTTTAAGACACCCAGTGGCGCGCATCTGGGGGGCTCAGGGTGCCTGGCTAACTCTCTCCAGGACGCGCCGGGCCCCAGGGCTGCGGGGGATCTCAGGGCTTGTGAGCGACTCGCCCGCCCCGCCCGCCAGTGCTCTCTTCCACCTGCACCAAGTTCCTGAGCCTCAGCTGCTGGGGACCCCGGCACCGCCACCCCCCGAGCGGAGACCTCACCTGTTCCCACCCTCTGCCCACCCATGTGTGACACAGGAAACCCAGGCCCTGCCCCTCCCCTGCAGCCTGCTGTGCGGCACGTCTGTCCCTCAGGGCTACTCTGAGCCACCTTGTCCCTTGAGCTCCAGAGCCCCCTGTGGCTAAGCCACCACCCTCTGCCTGGCACAGCAGTCCCACTGGCCCTCGGTGTCTAGAATGTGCCGCATAGGAGAGATGGGCCCCCAGGGCCTCTGTTGTTTGGCATCATCACAGAACAGAGGATAAAACAGAATAAACTCCCCGTGTGACCTGTGGAGTATTGAACCATCCCAAGTGCAGATTCTTCAATCACATGCGACCTGGGCCTCCCTGTGTGTGAGCTCCTGCATCGGGGCACTTGGCACTTTCCTAGAGGCACATGGATTCCGGGGTGGGGGGCGCGCTGGAGAAGGTCAGGGCCCCGCCCTCCTCCAACCTGGCTCTGGGACCCTGGGAGAGTCACTTCCATCCCTGGGCCCAGGCTTCCTCTCTCAGCCATGGACCAGTGACCACATCTGACCCACCTCAGCAAGGCAGGGTCCCTGGAGGGAGACTCTGGACCCCAGACGGACATCCTCCCTTCCCCAGGACAAAGAACTCACGGGGGAAGAGGAGCTGCCTCCAAAGAAGGTCACACGGTACCAGGTGGCTATGAAAACCCAGGTGGCGGAGAATTCCTGGAGCTCGGGGAAGTAGCGCCTGACATCCTCCGTGGCTCTGCGCAGTGTGGCTGGGTCAGTGGCCTCCCTGTAGTACACGTCACCTGCGCGTCGATTGTCCACGTCTGCCCAGAAGGCTGCCACCACGCAGCGGTCCTTGGCGATGGGGAAGGCCACTGGGGTGAACTGAGAGACCTCCTTCAGGAAGGAGATGACCCCGTTATTGTTCACCTGTCAGAGAGCCAGACAGGGGGCCAGTGGGCACCTGGGCGTAGGCAGGTGGGCCCAGCAGCCTCCCCTGCTTCACCCTCCAGGTGCCCTCCAGGGGGGAGCCAGGACTGAACAAGGCCTCCTCAGGACGGCCTGACAGTTCCTGGTCCCTGATACGAGACCCCTGGGCCTGTCCCATCCCCTTGCAGACAGGCTGTGTGCTTGGGCAGAGGCTCTGACCTGTTCGCTCTACCCACTGGCTGCCCAGTGCCCAGACCTGGGTGGCTGCTGTGGGGTCAGGGAGCTCCCACTGGGGGAGCCGAGCAACTGCGGTGCTCAGCGTCCGGGGTCCCACTCCAATCAGAGGCCTTGGGAGAGCACAGCAGCGTTCTGGCCTCGGATCCAGGACAGGTGTGTGGGAGGCGTGTGAGGTCGGGTGAGGGGGCAGTGCCCACGGGGAAGAGCTGGGGGTGAGCAGGAGCCCCTGTGCCGGGAATGGCTGCGTTGGTGGGGAGGGGTCTGTGCTCAGGACTCCAGACAGTAGGGAGCTGCAGAAGGCTCCTGAGCAGGAGACGGGAGCAGCATCTCTGCAGTAAGACACAACTGGTCCCAGTGCAATTAGCTGCGCAACCAGGCACACCAGCCTTTACCTCTCTGTGCTCTGGATTTTACCTGCAACATGGGGATAACACTCGTTCCTGCCTCCGGGAAGCCGAGCAGCCTTGAACGAGTTAGTGAGCACAGAGCTGGCTCTAGACTGTCATGATTTGCTCCCGGGAAGATGGTGGTCAGAACCACGCTTTTAGAGAAGACTCTAGACTTCCCCTTTAGGTGAGGGTGGCCTGGTAATCCAGAAGCACAGCTCTCTTCTTAAAGGCACCGAAGAACGGACAAGCAAGTGAAGGATTCCAGGCTTTGGATTCCAAATTGAGGACAGGGAGGGACTGGAGGTGAGCCCGACTCCCAGAGCTCCTTTCCGCCTCAGTGAGCACATCTGCATATTGAGAAGCAGTGGCTACAAATGAGACCTAAAGTTTTGCAGGCTCATGGAGGGAGATGTCAAAGTTTGGCGCTCACCCAGGGCTGGGGATAACCCCCTACGCTAAGCTGGGTGAACTTGAAGTACACAGTTCTCGTGCGGCCTCATGCTCTGCTGTCCCCTCACCCGAGCGGTCCAGGGCCCCTCAAACTGGGACTCGGATCAAGGCGGTTCCCAATGGATAGCATCCCGAGGTTCCAGAAGCAGAGAAAACCCTCTCTGGTGGAAGATGGAATCACCTAAGGCCTCAGCTATTCCTATAAATAATTTTCTCGAATGCAAAACCCAGGACACAGTCAAAGATAATCAGGCACATAAGGAAACAAGGTGCCGCTAACAAGAATGATCAGAAATGTGAGAAACATTGGGTATCAGAATTATCAGACCTGAGGCTTAAAATAAGCTTACTGTGTTCCAAGTGCAAGCTTTAAATTTCTTCAAGAGAATGGCCAAAACAATCTTGAAGAAAGAATGAAGTTGGAGGACTTATACTTCCTGCTTTCAAAACATACTGCAAAGCTGTAGCAGTCAAAACAGTGTGGCCTTGGCTTAAAGACAAAAAGATAGCCAAATAGAAGAGAATAGAGAGCCCAGAAATAAGCCCTCACATATATGGTCAAATAATTTTCATCGAGGCGGCCAAGACCAATGGAGAAAGGGCAGTCTTTTCAACAAATAGAGCTGGGACAACTGGACGTCCACATGCAGAAGAACGAAGCTGGACTCTTACCTCACCCCAGATATAAAAACTAACTTAAAATGGATCGAAGACCTAGACATGAGGGCTAAACATATAAAGGTCAGAAGAAAACATAGGGTAAAAGCATCACAACCTTGGCTTTGGTAATGATTTCTTGGATATGACACCAAAGACACCGGCAACAGAAGGAAAAAAACATACAAACTGGAGTTCATCGAAATTAAAAATATTTTTCTTTTATTTAAAAAAAATTTTTTTTATTTCTGAGAGTCAGAGAGAGACGGCATGAGCAGGGGAGGGTCAGAGAGAGAAGGAGACACAGAATCTGAAGACGGGCTCCAGGCTCTGAGCTGTAAGCACAGAGCCCGATGCGGGGCTTGAACCCATGAACCGTGTGATCATGACCTCAGCTGAAGTTGGACGCTTAACCGACTGAGCCACCCAGGCGCCCCTAAAAATATTTTTTCTATCAGCAGAGTGAAAGGGCAACCTACAGAGCAGGAGAAAATATTTGCAGATTGTGTATCTAATAAGGGATTAATATCTAAGTATACGGCGAGCTCCTACAACTCAGTGACAACAACAAATACAAACGACCTGATTAAAAGACTTCAGTACACATGTCTCCAAAGAAGATATATCAGCGCCCAATAAGCCCATGAGAAGATGCTCAACATAACTAATCGTTAGGGAAATACAAACCTAAGCCACAAGGAGCGACCACCTCACACACATTAACATGGCTCCCATCAAAAAGCATAGAAAACAAGCGTGGGCAAGGACATGGAAAAGCTGGACGCCTCACGACCGCTGATGGAAACGCAGCATTGCACAGTTGCTGTGGAGAACAGTTGGCAGTTTCTCAAAAAATTGCAAATAGAATTACCATATGACCTGGAAATTCTACTTCTGGGTATGTATCTGCATTAGTCTGCTGTGGCTGCCATAACAAAATATCAGACTGAGTGACCTGAGTGACAGAAATTTGCTTTCTTGCCGTTCTGGAGCTAGACATCCAAGATGAAGGTGTCATCAGAGTTGGTTTCTAGCAAGTCCTGTCTTCTTGCCTTGTAGATGGCTCCCTCCGTACTGCGCCTCTGCACGGCCTTTCCTCTGTGTGAACATAGGAGGGAGAGAGCTCTCTGGTGTCTCTCTTTCTTATTATCAGATTAGGGTCCTACCCATACGACCTTAAATTATGTCCCTAAAGGCTCTATCTCCAAATACAGTCACCTTGGCGGGGGGGGGGGTAGGAATTCAACATAAGAATTTTGGGTGGGACACAATTTATCCACAACGATACACAAAATAATTGAAAGCAGGGTCTTCAAAAGATCTGTGTATACCTGTGTTCGTAGCAGCCTTATACATGACAGCCCAAAGGTGGAAGCAACCCAAGGTTCACCAGTGCATGGATGAGGAGGCCAGTGCGGTCCATCTATACAGTGGAATATGATTCAGTCTTAAAAAGGAAGGAAATTCTGACACTTGCTACAACATGGATGAACTTTGAGGACCTTCTGTTCAGTGAAATAAGCCGGTCACAGAGAGAAAAATGCTGTGATTTCACTTACATGAGGGACCTAGAGTAGTCACATTCATAGAAAGTAGAATGGGGGTGGCCAGGGGCTGGAGGAGAGGGACATGGGGGCACGTCTAATGGAGATAGAAATTCAGTTTTATAAGATGAAAAGAGTCTGGAGGTGAAGGTAGTGAGGACGGAACAATATCAACATCCTGAATAGCGCTGAACTTTACACTTAAAAATGGTCAAGATGCTAAGTTTCATATTAGGTGTATTGTCCACAATACAAAAAATGGACTAAAACATGGTCTGGGATAAAAAAAATCATCAGGAATGGAAATTTTCTTTTTAAAACCCATTTTAGAGAACTAAATAGAAATTCTAGCACTAAAACTAAGTAAATAACAAATTAAGCACTAAGTAGATAATTTAAGACCAGATTTGAAGCAACTAAGGGAAGAATTAGTGAACTGGAACTAGAAGACAGGTCAGAGGAAACCACCTGGAATTTAGAACAGACACAAAGACATGGCGAGTAGAGAAGAAAAATAAGATTTACGTCAAACAGTAGGATGGTCAAATACATGTGTGGTTTGGAGCACCAGAGGGTAAGGAGATGTAAAGGCAATGGCTGAGCAGTTCCAGAACTGATGAAAGATATCAGGCCACATATTCAATAATCCCAGCGATTCCCTAGCCAGAAGAATAAAAATAAAGCAACAACAAATGCCTGCTGTAACTGCACATCGACGATTAGGAGGCTATTAGAAAAGGAGAAACATATGAGTTGTCATCCAGGTTCTTACCCGCAGAGTGGCAGCTGATTTCTCATACGCAACGATGGAGACTAGAAAACGGGGCGACTGTGTATTGAATATGCTGGAAGAAAATAACCGGCTCACACAGTCTTATGCCCAGATAAAATTTCCTTTGTTACTGAAGGCAAAAGAAAGATAATTGAGATAAATAAATAATAAATAAGTAAGTAGGAACTGTGTAGCAGACCCACATCAAAAAAGTCAAGTCAACGGGAAATGTACAGTCAGAGAAGCAAGAAGGGAAGAAGGGCAAAGAAGGTGCTATGGACTGTATGTCTGTGTCTCCCGCAAATTCTCAAGTTGAATCCTGACCTCCACTGTGACGGTGTTAGGAAGAGAGGCCTGTGGGAGGAGATCAGGTCATGAGGGTGGGGCCCCCACGAAGGAGACCCCAAGTTTCTTTATAAAAGAGACCCCAACGAGCTCTGTCTGTCCTTCTGACATGTGAGGACACGACGAGAAGATGCTGTCTATTAACCAGGAAGTGGCTCTTCACCAGACACTAAATCTGCCATTCCCTCATCCCCTTGATCTTGGACTTCTCAGCTTTCAGAACTGTGAGAAATAGTGTTTGTTGTTTAAACTATCCAGTCTAGGGGTGCTTGGGGGGGCGCTCAGTTGGTTAAGTGTCTGACTTCAGCTCAGGTCATGATCTAACGGTTCATGGGTTTGTGCCCCACATCAGGCTGTGTACTGACAGCTCAGAGCCTGGCGTCTGCTTAGGATTCTGTGTCTTCCTCTCTCTCAGCCCCTCCCCTGCTTGCACTCTCTCTCTCTCTCACAAATAAATAAACATTAAAAATATTTAAACTGCCCAGTCTATGGCATTTTTATCATAGCAGCCAGAACAGATTAAACCAGAATGTATGAGAATAAATCCAAAAGAACACTGACCATATAAAGAAATAATATAAATAAAGCTTTGTGGAATTGTGTTAA